TCTTGTCAGGGGCGCTCATGGTCTTCAGGTAATAGTCACTGCTCCCACGAGTGTCCACCTTTCCTCCTTTGTTATTTCTCTCTCTCTTTTTTCTTCTTTCCTTCTTTTCTTTTTTATGTTCATTTTTTTGTAAACCAGGTGGATCCAAAAACCCAGGCCCTTTTCAGCTTCCATCCAGCTCTTGTCCAGAGGATTTCCATGTTGCCAAGCTTTGTTTCTCGAAGGCACCTTTGTCCCTCCTGCCTGGGGCTCAGCTCCCCCTGTGGTCAGCCACTGGTTGCTTTCTGGTGCCACCTAGATAGAGCGGAGGAAGGGGAGATGTGCATTTGTCAGTTTCGTCGGCGGGAGCTGGGAGCGGTCGGTGCCTGCACAGTTGGATCAAGAGAAGTGGGACTTTGCTGGCCAGCCGTTGACAGTGGTCCCTAAGGGGAGTTGGCTGTAGGTTTGCCTGAGAAAATGCTTCCTAGTGAGCATTCAGCCAGTAAATTCAGGGTTATCTTTGCAGAGGTACACTCATGGTTCTTTCTTTCTTCCTTCCTTTCTTTCTTTCTTTTCTTTCTTTCTTTTCTTATTTATTTATTTTCAGAGAGGGGAAGGGAGGAGGAAAGAGAGAAACGTCAGATGTGTGGTTGCCTCTCACGTGCCCCCTGCTGGGGACCTGGCCTGCAACCCAGGCTTGTGCCCTGACTGGGAGTCAGTCCTGTGACCCTTTGGTTCACAGACTGGTGCTCAATCCACTGAGCCACACTGGGCAGGGTGCTTAGCTGGTTCTTAGAACCAATATCTACTGTTTGTCTGGCACTTTATGCCTGCCCCCCTGTCAGGGGCTTTATCCATATTTTCTCCTTCAATCCTCACAAGCCCTTGAGGCGGGTGCTACAGTTATCCTATTCTACAGATGGGAAAGCCAAGGCTGCAGCTCTGTGTGCTGAGAGCGTACTCTAGGGAAGAGGGGAGCTGGTGATGTTGCTTGGTCAGCAGAGAAAATCCCATGCCCAACTGTGTAGGCTGGCGGGTGGAACCAGCCGCCTTTGAAACTTGGTGAAAGTGCTGTTTCTGTCAAGCCCACGGTCTGTGATAAGCCCAGCATGCTCCTGTGTCCTCTGGAGTTGGCTGAGTGGCGGCATGCCTTAGGATGGGCGTCCAGACTGTTCTCTGACCCGACCCGAGAGGAGGAGCTGGCTGTCACCAGCTCAGTGAATGGAAACTTAAATGCCCCAGAAGCTTAGTTCAGGAGGCGAAAGGCAGAGCTGACTAGGCAAGAGGTTGGCCTCCTCCCAGTTCCTCCCAGGGCCAGTTCCAAGTCGGTCGCCCAGCATGGCTGGTTCGCTGCCCCACTGGCCCTGACAGGCCAGCCCTGGCGCAGCCGTCATCCCCGGGCACTGCTCTGGGAACACGGCGGTCTCTGCCCAGGCGGATGCTGCAGGGTTTCTCCCGCATGCTGGTCTCAAGAGGGCTGGGCAGGTCTTGATTGAAACGATTCGCGCGGTGGGGCTTCCCCGACTTTTCTTGGGGGATTATGTCACAGTCTATTAAGCGTGCTCCCTCAGCACTTAATCCCGCTCTGACATGGGCTTTGCCGGCAGCCTGGGAAGTGCCACCGCTGAGACCTGGTTGCCTTTTTGTGGGGCCTGCCTTTGTGCAGTCGTGTCTGGGGCCCTCTGTGCTTCTGCCCTCCGCCTCAGTTCCCTGGGTTTTCTCTCTGTGGGACAGAGTCTGACGGAAACAGCCCCTGTGCTTGGGCCGGACATGTAGCTGGGGCTCCCCAGTGGTAGCCGGGGGCACCCCCTAGGCAAGCAGAGGTTGGCTCTGGGCTCTGAGGAGTTGGATGGGTGGTGTGGGCGGGAGGTGCTGAGAGTGCACAGTGGTCCATCGGACATCACTTCCCAGTGTCCCCTCCAGGACCCTGTTCCCCCCCATAAATCATCAGAGATTTTTTGTAATACTTTAATTTTTTTTCTGTTTCTTCCAACTCTAAGGAAACAAAGTTTCAGGTATTCACTCCCATTTTGTAAAAAGCTGTGTGAACAGTCCTATGGTAGATTATCACTGAGCCCAGGTATGACGGGGGCTGAAATACAGATAATGCAGGGAACTCCTCTTTGGCTGAAAGTCTTTGTGGGGTAGACCCACCTTGCTAAGTCCTCTGGAATGAAGGACTTTCTTCTGCAGTCATTCTTGGTGATGACGAAGGCTTTGGAGTTGCTCAGACAGTCTCCTGCGGCCCTGCTCCCGGTGTTAGATGTAGAGCAGCCAGCGCCTGGGTGCAGGCCAGCGTGCAGCAGCAGGACAGGGACAGAGGCCTCAGCTGATGTTGGGCAAGACTGCCTCCTGCTGTGCCTCAGGGTACAGGCCACGCTGGCTCAGCTGCCTGGGTCCTGTATCACAGTGGCTGCCCCGGGGACTGGAGTTTCTGTCATTCGTACCTTTTCCTATGAGGATGGTGCAGAAAAGGAGGTGCTCAGGAACCCGGCACAGAGAAGATGCTCAGAAATGTTTGTGGCCTCAAGTAGGCGGTGAATACGTAGTCTCCCCCCTTCCCTTTTACGCCTTCACTGACCAGGAAGGACAGTGGACTCAGAGCCAGGAGACAAGTCAGTCTTGGCTTTTTTTTTTTCATGTCATCCCTGGCTCTCTGACCTTGCTGGGGCCCTTCACATACTTTCCCTTATGTCGAAAGGAGAGGGGGATGGCACTGTCCCTTCTGCTCTGGCGGCTTCTGATCCCAGGAGGACCTTTCACTGTGGGCAGCCTTGGGCTTTAGTCTTTCATCCAGACTGCTGGGAGCCCAGGCAATTCCTGTCCCATGCATTCCCTGCACCCCTGTCCCAGGATTCTGAGAGGACGTCCCTCTCAGCTTTTTCCTCTCCAGACTGAACTGTCTGGAGCGAAGCTCTTTACAGCATTTCTTTACGGATACCAGCCTCTGCCTCTCCGATCTGTCTCTGGGCCTCCTCCAGCCCCATTGTGTCTGTCTCTCGAGGTCTTTCTCCTGAGGTGTGGCCCCCTCGGGCACACATCTTGTCTCCAGTAGCCACTCTGCCAGTGTCTTCCACAACTTCAGGTGGTAGGACTTTGCCATGCCATAGAATAACAGCTTCTCCCCTGGATTGGCAAGCCCACCCAAACCAGTTTTCCCAGTCGGGTGGCACTTCCATTGTGGGTGAGGCCATGCCAGCAGGATTGCCTGTGTCCCATGAGAGCTCTGCTTGGTGCCGCCCCGCTTTCCTCGGGCCGCACCCTAGCCAGGAGGTGCCTCACTTGTCAGGAATGCCGCCTTCTCCGGGGTTTGCTGGGCGTCTTCCTGTGAGGTTGGCCCAGGACGACCCAGCCCTGTACAAGTAAACAACGCGAAACCCTCACTGGTCACTTCTCTGCATTGTTTCCTTTGAAACATCAAGAGTTTGTGTCCCGCATTCTGTGTTTGAGAGCTGCCTTTGACCTCTGCTGGGGTGCCTGGGGGGCTGGACCACTGGGTTTCAGGCTGATCTGACCCCTTTGAATTGAGAATGCGAGTGAATGAGTTTACACGGCTCCTCTTGAAGGTCTTGGAGTTCAGGGAACAGCACCAAGGTAGACAAGGGAGGTGACGCAGTGAGGCCCCGAGGGGTCCTCGGAGAAGTGGTCAGTCTGTCATTTCCCCACAAAGCCGGCTGCCCTGAGAGCTTGTTCCCACGCTGGCCGCTGGCCCGTGGGAGCGGGCAAGGCCTTCTCTGCCTGGAGTCGCTCCCTCTGTTGTTAGCCTTTGGGTCCTGGGTTTATCCTGTTACTCTTCCTCATCTTTGGTTTGGGTCCTCGGCAATCGGTAAGGCATTTTTTAAGCCTTCATACATACTTCTCCATAGTCATGATGAAGAAGTTGGGGAATGTTTTACATTTTTTAAATTTTTATTTATTTTTAAAACCAGCTTTTGTACTTGTGAGCACTGTGTCTGTGGGTTTGGCTGAAAAGTCAGGTTCATTTCCCAGCTGCTCCTTTCTCAACCCTGTTTGTCCCCCTACCCTGCCCCGCCCCACAGACATGTAGATATTCAGGGTTCCATTGGCAGCTCTGCCGTGGTGGGAACTGGGGGAGGTCGGGTACTTAAGGGAGCTGACAAAGTCAGGAAACCCAGGCCCAGGAGCCAGGAGGGATGCCCAGAGGTGAGGCCGGGTGGGTTGGAAACCAGGCTGAGCCGCAGGTGGGGCCGGCCCTTCCGCAGGCACTCTGACTGCCCTCGACGGAGGGCCTTAGAAGGGGTCTGGAGCCCAAGACCCTTCTCACCCCTTTAGCCATGCAGTCCCCCCTGCCTCCAGCCCAGAGCCATGGAGTTTATGGTGTGGGTCAGACCGCAGAGCCATAGGTCTGGCGGGGCTTTGGTGTCCTCAGGCCTGCCTGTGGGTGGGACCCGGGACCTGGTGCAGAGCCATGGCCTTCTCACCACTGTGCGTGGCTACCACCCTCATCTTGCAGGACACACTCACAGGCCTGGGGCCGAGCGGTGAGCCCAGGTCACACACACTGGGAGGGGTGCTGGTCCGTCTTCCCCAAGAGACTCAGCGTCTGTGGTCAAGTGAATTTCAGAAGTGCCCCGAGGCTGAGCTGTACGGGTTTCTTGACTGTCGGACTTCTGGGAACCTGGGGAAGCATTAGGTGTTGTGGTTCCCCCAGGTGGGGAATTCCCTCAACTCATTTGACCACAGAACCTCGTCACTTTTCTTCTTAGAGTTCTAGTCCTCGGGAACAGTAGGGGAAATACTGTTCCAGCAGGGTTGGCCCTGTCCCCTTCCCCAGCCCCTAGCAGGGTCCCTGAGAGCAGGTGCAGTCCTTCAGGAGGAGAACAGGGTAGGACGGGAGGCAGTGAACTCTACTTCCCTCCAAGGCCTCTGGCGGGGGTTACAAGTCTGGTTTGCAGCAGCCAGGCCCTCAGTTCCCATCAGCTTTGGCCAGCCCACGGCCCATGGCCCTCAGCGGCTTCTTCTCTGCCTGTGTTCATGTTGGCTTTGGGCTTGGTTTGTAGGGAAGATGGTGAGCTGGAAGAAGGTGAACTGGAAGACGACGGGGCGGAGGAGACCCAGGACACCACCGGGGGGCCCGAGAGGGGCCGGAAGGAAAAGGGGGAGAAGCATCACAGTGATTCTGATGAGGAGAAGTCTCACAGGAGACTGAAGAGGAAGAGGAAGAAAGAGCGGGAGAAAGAGAAGAGGAGATCGAAGAAGAGGAGGAAATCTAAGCACAAAGTAGGTCTGCAGGGTTCAGGGCCCTGGGCTTGGCCTTGAACCTGGATGAGAGCCCCAGGGGCCTAGCTTGTTTTGTCAGGTCAAAGACCACTCTTAATAGTGTTTCCCCTTCCCCACATTGCTCAAAGGCCTTTTTAAAAAGAGTTGGTAGCTCCTGCCCCATTGGCACTCAGGGCCCCTAGGTGAGATGTTTCCTGGAGAACACCCCCCCTCCCTCCCCCGCACACTCCAGCGGTGCTTGTCGCTGGCAGGCTCTGCTGGAGTGACCTGCCTGTCGTGCAATCCCTGAGTCCACCCCCCTGTCATTGCAGCGCCACGCGTCTTCCAGCGATGACTTCTCCGACTTCTCCGACGACTCGGACTTCAGCCCCAGCGAGAAGGGGCACCGCAAGTACAGAGAATACAGCCCCCCGTACGCGCCGGTGAGTGGCTGCAGGGCGGGGCTCCATGAAAGCTGCCATATTCACCGAGCACTTTGCTGTTCTGGGCGTTCTTGTGTGGCACTCTTGTGGGTTTTAATCCTGCAAGATTAGGTAGTGTTTTTATCCCCACTCCACAGGCGAGGAAACAGACCCAGAAAGTGTCAGCCAGGTTGTGCAGCCCTGGCGTGCAAGAATGGGGGTTTGGGCCCATCGGTGGCTGGCCTCTGCTAAGCCATGCTGTCGGCACTTCTCGAGGCCGCCTCCTCGTGGCCTTGGCATGTGTCTCCTGTCGCCAGGAAAGATCCTGGTCTGTCCCTGTCATAGCTGACTGTTTTCCACTGTTCAGAAATGACTTTTGTGGATATTGGTAAGAGAATGAAATGGTTACAAGAGTACATTATAGCTCTGACCTTAAACATGAAGCTAAATTATTTGTTCAGTGTGCACACTATTTCCCCCAGCAAAACTGGTAAGAAAGAACACTGATGTAGATTTTCAACTTCTGATAAAAAATGCTTTTAAAGCAAGTAGCTCTTAAATGTGTCCTGGGTGTCATGTGACTCAGCATCATCTGTCATGACAGACATTTTATTGTAAGATACAGCTGACATTGATCTACTAATGCAGATTCAGACTTTAAACCTGAGGGAGGCTGGGAAGGGAGGCAACGCCGTGACCTTTACTTGGGAACTGGGCGTTGCGGCCTTTTAAGGTCTGCTAAAGTAGTCGTGTGTGTGCCTGTCTCCCTATGTTTTGTATTTTCTCTCTTTTATAATGAGTGTGGGTTACTTTATATTAACAGACTATTTTTTAGAGCAGTTTTGGGTTTATAGGAAACTGATCAGAGCGTACGGTTCCTCACCCAGCCACCCCCTTGCTCCTGATTACGAATGTCTTGCATTGAAGTGGCGCATTTGTTGTAGCTGATGAGCCAATATTGACGCATGATTATTCGAGTCCACAGCTTTACATTAGGGTTTTACAGTTCCTTGGCTTTTGACAGCTGCATAAAGTTATGTACTTGCCATGCACTATCATATGAACTACTTTCAGTTCCCTAAAAACCCCCTCCCTCCCTCCTTGAGCTTCCAGCAACCACGGGTGTTTGTACTGTCACCGTGGTCGAGCCTTTTCCAGAATGTCATGGGGCTGGGCTCACACGGTGTGTCGCCTTCTCAGTTTGGTGGTTTCCGGACTGTGAGCAGCGTGTGTTCACAGTTGCACTGTGTCCTTTCATAGCTCCAGAGCACGTTTCTTCTCACTGCTGAGTGAGAAACACTCCATTGCCTGGATGTGCTGCAGTTCGTTTATCCATTCGCTGCCCGAGGACATTTTGGTGGCTTTCATTTACATATATTTAACTTCATTGTCTCTAGGCGCTAGCACTTTTTGTTGGGAAAGCATCATTTAAAATGGCTTTCTAGCCCTGCCCAGTGAGGCTCAGTTGGTTGGGCGTCTTCCACAAAGTAAAAGGTCACTGGTTCGATTCCTGGTCAGGGCACATGCCTAGATTGCAGGTTTGGTCCCTGGTTGGGGTGCTAATGAAAGGCAACAGAATGATGTTTCTCTCCTCCTCTCTCTCCCTCCCGTCCCCTCTCACTAAAGTAAATAAATCAAATAAAATGACTTTCTAGTTGGGTTGCCAACCAAGTCATTAATTGAATTCCAAGGCCCCAGAAAATTTTGTGACTGAGAAGCATCCTTCTTGCCTGCCAGGCCCCTTCCCCAACTGAGATTGCTCCCTAACCCTGGGAAAGAGCCCCCTTTCTTTTCTCCCTGGTTCTTCAGGGATCGTGGGGTCTGTGTTTGTCAATTTTTTATTTTGAGCTGTGGCCCCTCTGAAGAGTAGAAACAGAAGGGCCTCTGCCTAGATCCCACTCGGGGGGACTGGTCCTCGGAGTGGCTGGGGGCTGGCGAGACACCCAGACAGATGCATCAGTTCGGGGAACCGTGGGGATCTGGTGGTCTGCACCCACGGCCCCGGGGCCTACTCACCATCCTCTCCCGGTTAGTCCCACCAGCAATACCCCCCGTCGCATACCACATCCATGCCCAAGAAGTCCTACTCCAAGATGGACAGCAAGGGCTACAGCATGTATGAGGACTATGAGAACGAGCAGTATGGGGAGTATGAGGGCGACGAGGAGGAGGACCTGGGCAAGGAGGACTACGACGACTTCACCAAAGAGCTGAACCAGTACCGGCGTGCCAAGGAGGGCAGCAGCCGGGGCCGAGGTGAGGCCCTGCTGCTCCGTTCCTTTTCTGGGCATCTGAGCCAATCTGGTGTGTGTGTAGGGGGCCTGGAGGGGCGGTGCAGGGTGAGGCAGGCCTGGCTGACTCGGTGCTCCCCAAGCCCGGGAGAGGAGACGCGTAGCCCTTTAGGGCCGAGGGAAGCACAGAAGGGGAAGTTTGGGGGAGTTAGCCACCTAAGAAGAGGGGCCAGTGCTGAGGGCCCTGGCTGGCATGGAGCCAGGCTGGGGTGAGGCAGGGAGAGGAGGAATTCACTTCATGGTCAGCTGTAAGGAGAGAAAAAAGGGGCAGCTTCTCACATCTGGGCCACCATAACTGACAGCTGGCTGCCTCTGCCCCCAGTGGCCTCCTCTCCCATCCTTCCAGCTCTTATCACCTGACAAGGTGTGACTGCAGCCCAGGGGACTGCCACACCTGTGAACCTTGAACTATGGCAGTTAGGAGGAGGGTGGGGGAGGGCAGAGTACCAGAGATTGGTCTGGCCTCTTAGAACCATCTTCTGCTGGTGAGATTTTCCACCCCAAGGGGGCTTCTAGGACCTTCCAGCTCAGCCTCACCTAAGGCCCAGCTTGTTATTTGAGTGGCCATTCAGCCCTTCTTCCTTTAAGAAGTCTTTCACGGACACCTCCCTGGACAGGCCCTGCCCTTTGCGGATTCTACACTAGCGCTCTTCAGTGTAGGTAGATTGTAAGCCACCATGTAATCACAGCCCTGGCTGGTATAGCTCCGTGGATTGAGTGCTGGCCTGGGAACCAAGGGTCTCCAGTTCAGTTCCCAGTCAGGACACATGCCTGGGTTGTGGGCCAGGTCCCCAGTAGGGGGTGCATGAGGGGCAGCCACACATTGATGCTTTCTTTCTCCCTCACTTCCCCACTTTCAAAAAATAAAATACTTAAAAAAAAAAATTCAGCCCTGGCTGGCGTAGCTCAGTGGATTGAGTGCGGGCTGCGAACCAAAGTGTCACAGGTTCGATTCCCAGCCAGAGTACATGCTTGGGTTGCAGGCCATAACCCCCAGCAACTGCACATTGATGTTTCTCTCCCTCTCTCTCTCTCTCTCTCTCTCTCTCTCTCTCTCTCTCTCTCTCTCTCTCCCCTCCCTCCCTCCCTTCTTTCTCTAAAAAAAGTGAACAAATAAAAAAATCTTTAAAAAAATTTTTTCAAAGGAAGACAGACCTTCCTTTAAAAAAATACAAATGAAATAAAATCTTTTTAAAAAATAGTAAAAGCAAACAGTTGACATTAATTTTGACGATATATTTTGTCCACCTAATACATTCCAAATCTTATCACAATATGTAAGCGAAGTAAATGTGATATTTTACATTCCTTTTTCTTTTAACTAAGTCTTTGAAATCCAGATATGCCTTACACTTACAGCATCTGTCAGTTTGAGAGCTACATTTCAGGTGCTCAGTAGCCACAGGTGGCTGGTGGCTGCCATATCAGACAGTGTGAAGGGAATAGTGCAGCAGTCATGTGCCCACAGTGCCGAGGCATCCCCATCAAGGGGACCATGGGAGCTGATAGTCTGCCCAGGGGATCTGGGGAGGCTTCTTGGAGGAGGAGGATCAGGATGAAACGATTGATTTCAGGGGCAAACAATGGGTTAGTGTCTCTCTCTGGTGGGGCCCACTCCTGCGCTCACTCTCTCAATTGCTGTGCAGGCAGCCGAGGCCGTGGCAGGGGCTACCGAGGCCGAGGAAGCCGAGGAGGGTCTCGAGGCCGAGGCATGGGCCGGGGCAGCCGAGGCAGGGGCAGGGGCTCCATGGGAGACCACCTGGAGGATGAAGATGACTTTTATGATGACGAGATGGATGTAAGGTTTTCTCCTGTGTGGGGGTGGGAGTGGCTGGTGGGCTGCATGAGTTGTTGGGGGAGGCCTGTGAGACTCTTGGGAAAGAAAGCATGAGATAGCAGGTCTGCACGTTTTAGTTGTTCACATATGACTTTGGAATTGAGACAACCTTCATAGGGTTCAAATTGAAGAGATACTGAAGGGCAAGTTGTAAAAATGGCACCATCATCCCACTGCTATCCCAGCGACTTAGTGCCTGTCCCTGGAGACAGGGTTCCTGAGTGTGCCCTGAACCATTGTGGGCCTTTGCAGTGGGGGCTCGTTTATGCACCTGCCTGCTCACGCACCCTTTCGCAGAGGAGAGCTGCCACGCTCTGTGCCGTGCCTGCCGGGAACTTTCTGTGCCTTCATTACAGCTGCCTGTGGGGCATGGAGGTGCCCTGACGGGATGGACCCAGGGCAGCTGTAGTAAGAATTAGGGCCACCCACTGCTCTGGCTGGGGCGAGTGAGGAGGGGTGACAGGCTGGGAGGGCACAGGCCGGGGGCCCAGGCTGCTTACCAGGTCTTCTGAGTCTGAAGTTGTCCTTGAAACACAAAGGCGAAGGGGGCAGAATGCACAGTTAGGAACAGTGTTCATTGTTCCCTGCTGACACCTTCTTTCTCCGTTCTGAAATTCCAGTATGGAGACTGTGAGGAGCCGATGGGAGACGAAGATTATGATGACTATTCCAAGGAGCTGAACCAGTACCGCAGGTCCAAGGATGGCCGAGGACGAGGTAGGCAGGCGGCCCGGGAGGTGACAGGTCTGTGGGACTCATTGTGGCAGCTGTTGGAGCTAGGTTCTGGGAGAGGCAGCAGCCGGCGCCGTTTCTCTCCTCTGCAGGGCTCAGTCGAGGCCGTGGCCGGGGTTCCCGGGGTCGAGGCAAAGGGATGGGCCGGGGCCGAGGACGGGGTGGCAGCCGAGGAGGGATGAACAAGGGCATGAACGATGATGACGACTTCTACGACGACGACATGGGCGTGAGTCGACTCTTCATTCTGATCTGATGTGTTCAGCTGAGGTGCCTCCTTGGGTTTCATTTTTCCCCTTTAATGAGTTGTCCTCTGAGGCCAGCCCTGCCCTCTGCTCCCAGCACCTGTTCCCCATAGGGCTGAGCAGCACTAATCATCCCTCCTGGGGTTTGTGCTGCTGGGGAGACCCTGTTTTTAAAGTCACATCTGTGTAACCCCTGCAGTCACTCAGAATGAGTCCCTAAGATTCAGAAGGTTTGTGGCGACCCACCCAGCTAGCCCTGGAGTCTCATGGGAGGCGCCTGTGCCCCCGGGAGGCAGGTGCGCTCCTGCACAGGTGCGCACAGGTCTCTGTTGCCAGCAGCTCCGACGGCCGGGGCTTTTCTTGTCCCCTGCTGGCTTTCCGCACCTGGGGCTCAGACCCCGAGCAGCCATCCCTGCCAGCCAACCCCTGCTGCCCCCACTCACTCAGAGATCGCCTCCACCTGGCCCGCACCGGGCTCTCGCTGTCCTTCCTTGTCATTCCCCGTCATGGTCACACTCGGTGTTCCCTAACAGGACGGCGGTGGAAGCTACCGGAGGAGTGACCATGACAAGCCCCACCAGCAGTCCGACAAGAAAGGCAAAGTCATCTGCAAATACTTCGTGGAGGGGCGGTGCACCTGGGTAAGGGGCAGCGGGACCTGCGCCCACAGCAGGGCGGCAGCCTCTCGGGGGCCCACGGGCTGCTGGGAGTGTTCCAGAGGCCACGCTCGCTGGGGGCGTGCTCGGGTTGGGTGGGACTGGTCAGCTACCAAGAGGTGCCGGTGGGGCCTGGGAGGCTCGGGCTCCTTCTCGGAGGGACTGGGGGCCAGAGCAGCATGACTTACCTGGGGTTTTCTGGTTCGGGGGGAATCTTTTTGGCCAGAGATTTCAACTAGGCTTCAAGCCTTGTCATGTCAGGATTGATGCTAATGCAAAAATGTAATGTGTGATATAAATGTAATTCTGCTTAGTTATTGAACTTTAACTTTGAAAAAGGAATTATTAAAGACATTTATAGAAAAGGAGGGGTGGCCTGAAAAATCAGGCCAGCCTTGAACTTCACAGCAGAATTTAATGCCCCAAGATGGACCAGTGGGACAGAATTCCTTTAGGAAACCATGTAACCAGTGTTAGTTCAGTCGGATAGTTTTTCGTTCTTATTTAGGGGCAGTGGGCAGGTCCTGGGAGACACGCCCCCAGGGATTACTGCACCTGTGTTTGCATCTTAGAAAATAGTATGTGTTTCAAACATATGTGCATGTGCTAATAAAATACTCCTTATTACACAATTCCTACTATTTTTAGAAACTTACAATACATGTAAGTGAAGAGAAATGAGTAGCCATTCACCTGGGTGCTGTGTTTGAATTGTGTCCAGCTACAGATAATGAAAACGCAGCCCCACTGACTTAAACGCACAGGTGTTTCTCCCTCAGAACAGAGTCTGGGGTGTGGAGGCGGTATAGGCTCAGTGGCACCCTAGGGGGCCCATGCTCCTTCCTGGATTCTCTTCTGCCACTTTTAAGCATGTGGCTTTTGTCCTCATGGTTGCACAATGGCTGCCGTTCCTCTGGGCATCACATCTAAGGGCTAACAGGAAGGAAAATGGGTGGAGGGGTTTTTTAAAACATTGAGGCAGTGTTGTTTTCCCCGAGGACTTTTGCCTGTACTTATGGCCGGAACTTGAAGGGAAGCTGGGAACCGGAGTATTTTTAGTTGGGCACATTCCTCCCCTAACAAAACTGGGGTTCTGTTGGGAAGAAGCATGGGCCTGGATACTGGCTGCCATGCAGCAAACAGTGAAAAACAGTAGATAAAAGAGAAAGAAGGAACAGGAAGAGAAGAGTTAGGAGGCAGTGAAAGGCAATGGAATGGAGACGCAGGAATGGGGGTGTGGCGGGGGCAGGGGCCTGAGAGAGGGGAGCACACTGGGTCAGAGGGGAAAGTGGTGGAAAACCTGCCCTTTGCCGAGGGAAGTGGGGGGATTTGTTCTGTCTGACAGCCCTCTGCCTCTGCGGTGGCAGAGCAGGGCTTCCCTTTGCAGGAGGGGTGCGCAAGGGCTCCCTGCACTGCAGCCTGACCTTCCCACTGCTTCTCCCCCAGGGAGACCACTGTAATTTCAGCCACGACATCGAGCTACCAAAGAAGCGAGAGCTGTGCAAGTTCTACATCACCGGGTTCTGCGCCAGAGCAGAGAACTGCCCCTACATGCACGATATCCTTTGATGCCCACAGCTGCTCCGGGCGGGGGGCAGACCGCCACTGCCGGTCGGCAGTAACAGCTGACCTCGCTGCGCGCTGGCTCACACGCTCCCTGCCAGCACTGTGCCAGGATCTCTGTGTGTCCGCATCTCACTGCACCCTCACCCCTGTCCCCTGACGGGCCTGCCGTCCCGTCCTGCAGATGAGTGAGCCGAGGCACATGGGTTGTGTCTTCTCTTAACATCCACTCTTGAGACTGGCCACACACCTTTACCTGTTACCTTCCTGAGACCTTTCCAGCAGGCTGTGTGACCTCGGGCCCACCCGTGAACTGCCCTCCTCCTGTCCTGTGAGGATTCAGGGACGAGCCCGACGGCCAGCGCGGTGGGCGGGGAGCACTCTGCAGTAGGAGTCTTACTAGTCACTTCACCTCTCCTGGCTTCAGCTTCCTCATCTCCCATCTTCCGCTTCTGCCCTTGGGGTTCCATGAGATTAAGCATTTGCCTTAACTTGCCGTGAACGCGACTTTCCGTGTAAGCTCTACCACACGACCGGGAACTGCATCAATGGGGACGACTGCATGTTCTCCCACGACCCTCTGACCGAGGAGACCAGAGAGCTCTTGGATAAGGTAGGTCTTCGTTGGCTGTGGTGACGGAAACCGGACACTGTGCGCTCCGTCAGCTCAGCTCTGCAGCCCGCCAGCTGGCCTGTGTGTGGGACCAGCATCGATCTGGAGCTGGGCCATTTTAAGGAGGCAAAGGGGACTGTGTTGTTTCTCACAGGGGCAGTGGAGGTGGCCACACATACGTCATCTCTCCAGCCAGTGCAATTTTCACCGGGGCGGCCGCTTGAAAGGAGTGTTGTCTGGTGTGATTTCTCAGTCCTTCAGAGAGAGCCCCTGGCACACGAAGAGGAGGAGGGGAGGCTTAGGGTGGGTTGTGTTTCGATGGCAATGTTAAATGGTTCCATCTGAGTTTTAAGGATTCTGTTAATCAGTAAGAAATGTTACAGGGGAACTAGAGGTTCAGGGCTGGTGGGACACTTTGTCGCCAGGTAAGGTGTCAGGGCTTTCAGACACATCAGGTGACATTTGAAACTCACCCTGGGGTCTGGTTTTCTCCCTAAGAGTCTTTAGGACTCTGGGAACCCCAAGGTCCTGGCCTTGGTTTCCTGATACATCAAGGGAATCAGAAAGAATGCGTCCTTTGAAACTGAGGCTTTTCTGCCTTCTAGTTTGCAAATGCTTAGAGGAGTTGGCTATTTTTTCAGAATGAGAAGGAAAAAAAATAATTTGAAAGAAGAAAGAACGAATGGGAAGAACCGAGCCCTGCCCAGGGTGGCTCGGTTGGAGCGATGTCTCATAACTGGAAGGCCATGGGCATGACTCACGGTCAGGGCACCTCCGTAGCACCTAGGTTGTGGTTTTGATCCCTGGTCGTGGCGTGTTACTCTCCTCTTGATGTTTCTCTCTAAAAGCAATGAGAAAATGTCCTCGGGTGAGGATTAAAAAAAAAAAAGGAAGGGAAAGGATGGAGTTCATCCGTCAGTCTGATGGACCCACCTGTGGGCCGTGTTTATGAGGCTGCTGTCACCGCCCGAGGGGTGGGGGGAGCCACGCACAGGCAGAACAAGGGGACATCTGCTCCTCGGGGGCAGAGGAGAGGGAAAATTGGGACAGGTTCTCACTTGGCCAGGCTCTTCGTGGAGCATAACACCCCAGGACCAGAGTTTTGTGGTCAGTAGATCTCTAAGGTCCATGGGTTTTCTCATGGAGGAAGTAGTGGGCAGAGTCACTGCGACTGAGGGCCTCACTGAAGAACTGGACAGTAGCTGGCTGAGGACTGCCCCCTGCTGGGTGTTCAGAGTCTGTTCTAGACCTGCCGGAGCCACAGTTTTGTTTTGTTTTTTTTAAACTGGCCACCTACTAGGTTTGCAGCACAGTTTCACTAAAAAAGTTTCACTGGTAATTGCACAGCTCGAGTGATGCGGACAGAGAAACATCGGGAGTGACTAGAGGGGACAGTCTTGTAAGTCACAGGCTGCCATGTGTTTAATGTAAAATTTTCTAGTAGCCACGTTTAAAAATGAAAAGAAACATGCAAATTTTAACAATATATCTTACTTAGCTCAGTGTATTCACATTCAAAATGTCATAGTAACAAGTGACGGAAAAAAGTAAGATTTGGGGGAGAGGTAGGTACTGTGCCTCCGGGTCTGGCACTCACAGCCACACTGCAGGCCCCCAGCGGTCACACGAGGCCGGTGGCCACTGCACGGGACAGCATAGCTCTGGATGCCCTAACGAAAACCTGGAGCAAACACGGGAGCGCATTGCAGCTTCTGCTCACGAACACTGAAAGCGTTGGTGTCATCCCCTATGTTGGGTCAAGTCCCAGAGGGCTAATAGTGAGTGTAGAACCTAGAAAACCACTCCAGAATCGAACGTGTGTGGCCGGAAGGTAAAACTTCCCCGTACCTTTGGCAGGGGCCTGGACTAACCCTGACGAAGGTGTTGGCCGCCATCTCCTCCTCCCTGGAGAGCGGGTCTGCTGGGGCCTGGGGCCCGGGGCCCATGTGGCGGCACCACCAACACTGCCCCGAGGCTGCCCCGTCCTTCCGCTTCATTTCCCCACTCCCCAGCAACCCTTCGTCTGTCCGGGCACCTCTTCCCGGCCATCCCCTCCAGGTTTGGAGACGTGCCTGCCACTGGGCTCGATGCTGCCGTTTCTAGAGGAGCAGCTGGCAGGACTGGTGCAGAGAACCCCCACCAGGCTCCCTGTTTGCCACATCACGTGCTGTCTCTCTGGTTCATGTCCGTGCGTGCGTGTGTTCTTGAGTTGTGTGAACGTAGGTTGCATTCCTTATAGTTCTCTGCCCTTAAGTTCCTCAGTTACATGTCGTTTTGCGGTCAGGTTCTCGAGGTACAGTTTGTTGCCAGTAGAGCTGCCCCTGTCTGAGGCACAGCCCCGGCGCTTCGACAGACGGGCGGGCCTGCAGCCGTTCCGTCACCAGAACGCCTCTGTGCCCTCACGGCCCCCAGCCCCCGGCAGCCACTGGTCTGTTTCCATCGCTAGTTTGCCTTTTCAAGAGTGTTATATAAGCAGGTTTATACAGTGTATGGCTTTTAGAAATGTGTATGTGTTTTTTTGTTTGCTTGTTTGATTTTAAAACGTGTGTGTTTTGAAGCTGGTTTCTCTCACTGGGCATGATGCATCTGAGACACACCCAGCTCATGGAGCGTGCACGGTGCTGGTTACTGTGTGTTGCTGAGGGGTACTCCATTGTGTGGAGGATTGAAGTTTTTATCCAGCCGTCAGGTGAAGAACACTTGGTTCGTTTCCAGTTTGGGGCAGAAATCTGGAATCTTTTTTTTTTAAGATTTTATTTATTTATTTTTAGAGAGGGAAGGGAGGGAGAAAGAGAGAGAGAGAGAGAGAGAGAGAGAGAGAGAGAGAGGGGGAGAGAGAGAGAGAAACATCAATGTGCAGTTGCTGGGGGCTGTGGCCTGCAACCCAGGCATGTGCCCTGACTGGGAATCGAACCTGCGACACTTTGGTTTGCAGCCCGCGCTCAATCCACTGAGCTACGCCAGCCAGGGCTTAGAAATCTGGAATCTTTAACCAGCTGATACGAGCCTGCTTCTTTGGCCTAATGGGCCTTGGCCCGAGTGGCCTGTGCATCTGTGGGTGTGGCGGAGCTGGGACCCCAGATTGCTCTGCATCAGGCCCCCCAGGCAGCTGGCTGTCTCACCCAAGGACGGGGTCCTGGGAGCCCGTCTTTGCTGCTGGAGACACCCCTCCACAGCATCTCTGAGGAGGATGCACAGCTGGACTGGGTTTGGCTTTTCTGGTGGGAATGAGGTTTTCTCCTGTTTCACACATGATCGTGTGTTATATGTGTCAGTGTCCGGGCACGGATGCACTTCACCGCTACTTCTGAGGCATCACTTGAGACGCAGGGCGGAGCCAGTGAGTGGGTGCAGCGGGGCTGGTCTGTGTCCGAGAAGAGTCCTTATTGGGCGTTGTGGGGTCTGACTGCGGGCTGGGGGAGGCTAGGTCCTGGGATGGGAGGGCCTGTTCTCCAGCCACTGTCAGGCCAAGTGGTGTGCGTGGGTGGGACTCCTACCCAGCGTGGGATGGAGACAGAAGCCCTGACTGCAGGGGGTGCTGAGAGGCTGCAGTGCTGGGTGCAGGCAGACCCCAGCGTTGGGCACGCAGGAGCAGCACTGCCATTGCAGAGCCTGTCTCGTGTGGGAGAGCTGCGGGTCCTTCTGCTGATGTGAGTTTATCGGTGCCCATTATGCGCTCCACGCCGTGCTCTATGCTGGTGAAGGGCAGGGAAAAGATCGCCGCAGCTCTGGTCTCCAGAGCTGGTGGTCTGATGGAGGAGGTACGCTGACCAGTGCTCATGGGTGCTGAGTGGCGCCTTGCGTTTGTCGTAGGTGCACCTTGTCTGGGGAGGCGGAGGCTCTCAGGAGGCCAGTGTCAGGAGACCTGGAGGGAGGATGGGCGTCAGGCGGGGGTGAAAAGGGGAGCATGGACGGGGCATTCCTCGCAGGAGCTGGGGAGGTGCAGGGAGTGTGGCATGTCTGGGGAGAAGGTCGTAGTCGAGTTTGTTCCTGTTTAGTGAGGCACAGCTGTGTTAGGTTTTACCTTTCACCTGAGGGCGTTGAGTTGCCTTTGGCAGTATCCAGCAGAGCAGGGACACAGCCGTCACTGTGACTGACGGTGGCTCTCCCTGTGTGCAGTGGTGGGGAGACCGGACAGGACACCAGGGCCGGGTGCCAGTCCGAGCCAGTGAGGCCCGGGGGTGAGACAGCACCCACGCCAGCCCAGTGTTTGGGTGTGTGGGGATGAGAGAAGGAGGACTTGGCCATACCCCAGGTCCTGGTGGGGGCGGGAACGCAGAGCTGGTGGACGAGGAGCAACCTGGTAGAAGTGGCGCCTGCAGCCCGGGGCCTGGTGGGCAGGAAGTGAAGGGTGAGGGAGGCATGTGCCAGGCAGGGGTTGCAGCCTGAGCAACAGTTGCACACCCAGTAGAGGAACTGAAAGGGGCCGATTCTTTGGTGGGGGGTGTGAGTAGAACGTGGGGGCAGTGAAGCAGAGGTCTCCCAGCCCCCACAGGAGGCGCCACAGCCCTGGGCTCTCCCCTGCACGACTGCTCTAGGGTGGTGTTTCCCACAGCACAAGTGGGCACCTGTGAAAACGTTCCTAGTCAGCGGGTCCCCCTGTGCTGCTGGTCCACACAGGCCACCCCTCAGGTGGCAGGACTTGAAGGGACAAAAATGTTGTCTACCGATCAGCTTTCCAAGTTTCTCATCCCCTGGAAGTCTGTACTCTGCTGTCCCAGGGTGCAGACAGCATTGCCGATCGTAAGGAGAGAGAGAAGCCGAGAACTGCCCGGCACCTGCCAGGAGGTCCCGCCTCTGCCACCTGCATCCCCGCCTTCCCTGGGTACAGGCACACTAGAGACTCAGGGCCCAGGGCTTCTGTTGGGGTCTGGGCAAGTAGGCAGCCTCTCCCAGGCACGTGCCTGCATTCCTGACCCCCAGAAGGAAGGGGGGTGCCCAGTAGAAAGCACATTGTTTGTAGAGTTGAGGCACATGGAGCCCCCTGATCAGTCAGGGAATGCTGGGAACCCTCTGGAAATCCCGGCTCCGAAACACCAGCTGATGGCCAACACTGCAAGGTTTTCCAAGGAGAGCGGGCAGGCCTGTCATATTTTCTGCACAGGATCCTAACTGGTGCGACGTGCTGCTCAAACCCAGACTCTGGAATGGTCTGCCTGCCCCATCTCAGGCCCTGTGCTGGGCTTGGGACACCTCAGGGCCTAGAATATCCCTGTCCTCCTGCAGCTGACGGCCTTTGGGTGAGCCAGGAATAAGCAGGCACAGCAGCAGAACACGCCGCCTGCCAGAGCCTGGGTAGCACTGTGAGGGGGCTGACAGTGTTCCAGTGGTGAACGCAGGAGACCCTCCATGGCGATGTGGAGGGAGAAACACCTGCCTAGGGCGCAGGCCGGGCCCTGCAGGGGGAGGGCTTGGCGTTGGGCAGACTGACTCGGGGCTGGGTGCTTGGGGTGCAGGAGTCTGGGGCACCCAGAGAGGAAATGAAGCCACCTGGGTGCTGCAAGGCTTCCAAGAACCCGGCCCCATTGGCCTCCGGGGGTCGCCGTGAGGAGTTGGGCTTTGATGGCAAGTGCAGTGAGAAGCCCTTCAAATCCAAACAGCATGGTGGCACACTGGCCAGCCTCGACAGATGGCACACCCTACCCCGTGGACGAGCTTTGAACATGTCATTCTGGGTGACAGAGGCCAGACACGAGAGACCCTGTGTTGTAGGGTTTACTTTCTGTGAAACGTCCAGAATCAGGAAACTTCTAGAGACACAGAGCAGATCATTGATTTCCAGGGGCTGGAGGGAGGGGGAGTGGGGAGTGACTGCTTATGAGTAGGGTTTTTTTGGGGGGGTGGAAACAGTAGGGGCTTCTTTTGGGGGATGGAAAGTTCTAGAACTAAACACAGGTGGTAGTTGGACAACCTCATGAATATGTTTAATGTCACTGAATTGGACATTTCAAAGTGGTAAAATTGTTGCGTCTTTCATGTTGCGTGTGTTTTGCTGCAGGACAGGAATGGCTCCCCCTCCCTGCCCATGGGTCGCAGGGGACGTGGCCATGGGGTGGGGTGATGGTTTTTGTGACAGAGAGGCTTCGTGGTCATTGGCACTGTGCTGTGAGGGCTTCCCTCGGGGCCTCGTGCGCTCGGGTGCCCCCGCACACCCGGCTCCCAGCACTGGAGGCCTACCCGGCCGGCTCCTGTCCCCTCTGACTGTCACTCCCTCTGCCCTTCCCGCTGCAGATGTTGGCTGACGACGCGGAGGCCGGCGCCGAGGACGAGAAGGAAGTCGAGGAACTAAAGAAGCAGGGCATCAACCCCCTGCCCAAGCCACCCCCCGGCGTGGGCCTGCTGCCCACCCCACCCCGGCCCCCCGGCCCCCCGGCCCCGACCTCCCCAAATGGCAGGCCCATGCAGGGTGGCCCCCCACCTCCGCCGCCACCGCCGCCCCCGCCACCCGGGCCCCCGCAGATGCCCGTGCCAATGCACGAGCCCCTGTCCCCGCAGCAGCTGCAGCAGCAGCAGGACGTGTACAACAAGAAGATCCCGTCCTTGTTTGAGATTGTGGTGCGCCCCACGGGGCAGCTGGCCGAGAAGCTGGGTGTGAGGTAAGCGCCAGGGCCATTGCTGTGAGCCTGGCACTCTGCCAGGCAGCGCACGGCCTTTAGTTCAAAACACTTGGGGGCCCAGCAGAGCCCCCCATTGCCCCCCATGCTGAGGCATCCACATCTCCTCGGGGGCGTGGCCCCCACCCTTCCTCCACAGCCCCTCTCACTGGCACCGTTTCCTCCTTCTAGGTTCCCTGGACCCGGAGGACCCCCAGGGCCAATGGGCCCTGGGCCCAATATGGGACCCCCGGGGCCGATGGGGGGTCCGATGCATCCCGACATGCATCCTGACATGCATCCGGACATGCACCCCGACATGCACCCGGACATGCACCCCGACATGCCGATGGGCCCCGGCATGAACCCCGGCCCGCCGATGGGACCCGGCGGCCCCCCAATGATGCCCTATGGCCCTGGAGACTCCCCACATTCTGGAATGATGCCCCCTATCCCACCAGCCCAGAACTTCTATGAAAACTACTACCAGCAGCAGGAAGGCATGGAGATGGACCCGGGACTCATGGGGGACGCAGGTATGCAGGCCCCGGGTAGACGGGGAGGGCCGCTGGCCGCACAGCAGAGTGTGGGGAGGGCTCCTCTCCCGGCGTGGGGGAGCACAGCTCCACTCCATCTCTGTCCTGTGAGTGGCTGAATGTTGTTCATGGCAGGGTCACTACCCTGTTGAGGCCAAGAGGACTGGTGTGATCATTGTCACCATAATTCCAGCTTCTCAGACATCTTGCCTGTTGTCCCGGCAACAGGGATGCGGGAACTCAGAGGGGCAGGTGTGAGCCGGTGCTGGGCTGAGGGGCTAAAGTGACCTCAGTCAGAGCAGCTTCCTTCCCAGTAGTTCGTGGTTTGGGGCTACTGGTGCCAGCCTTGTGGTTCTGCTAGTCCTCTCCTCACGTCTGACCATCTTCCTTCCTCCTTTCCTTCTTCCTTTCTCACTGAAATAAGAACCAATGTTGGTAACAACGATGATGCTGCGGCCCTAGGTGGTAGCATACAGCCTACGGGAAGGATGGGGTGTACCCAGGGCCTCCCAATGCCCGGCCTACTCTGGCCCTGGTGCCGGAGCCGGCGAGCGGCCACAGCCCTGGCCTCAGCAGCATTTGAGTGGGTGGAGGCGCGCAGCCCTGGCCATCGCTGGGAGGGACTAAGGGCGCTGTGGGAGAGAGGGCCGAGGCCTCGGGCAGGCCTGGCTCTGGCGGGGCCAGCGGGCAGAGGCTCTGAGAGGTGACTGGGGCTGAGCAGGGGGCACAGCGGGGCGGAGGCCCTGGGCAGTCGGCTTGTTTGAGAAAAGCAAAGGCAGCAGATGCCTTGGAGCCGGAGGACAAGAGAGAAGTCCCAGTGGGAGGGGGCCTCTGTACTCGTGGTGAGGTGGCCCCATGGGAAGGAAGATGGGTGGCAGTGGAGAACTGAGAGGGCGGTGGGTAGTGAGGCAGGAGTGGGACCGGGGGAGCTTCTGGGCTCCTGTGGGTCGTCCTGGCTGAGGCACGCTGGGTGGCAGCTCATCCTGGCTGAGGCGGGGAGAAGCAGGGCTGGCTTCTTGGTTTGGAGATGGTGCCACAGGCCCAATGTGACTCCCTGTGTATGCGTTAACACAGCGGGCAGGCATGGCGGGGCACTGGCCATGGGCACAGTCACCCCGAGGGCACCGGGGCGCCGGCACTGTCCCTGGCCAGGGAGTCCTGCAGGAGGGAGTCCAGTGGGTGGGGGCTGCACCAGTGCTTTGGCCATGGGAAGTGTGAGATGCCCTGTGACAGCCGAGCAGACCTATTGCGGGGATCGGAGCCAAGCAGGCTGGAGGTCAGTGAGCGTCTCTGGCGTCTGGCTGGTGTTCGAAGCCGCGAGAGCAGGTGTTTGGGGCAAGGAGCAGGGGCTTTAGAGAGACAGTGACAGGTTCCTGAGGGAGAAAAGCGGGCTGCTGGGGGGCGGCTCCTGCAGCCCCGCCTACTTGTGAAAACGTCTGTGAGACTTGCCCACCAAAGGGCTGGGTGCAGACGGAGGGCAAGTGTGTGCCCTAGAGTCGCTCGCTCACGTTCCTACCTCGGGAACCTGCCCTTTGGAGTGTGCGGCCCAGTGGTCTGTAGTGGACAGCAGGTCCTCGAGTAACGTCTCACTCAGCGTCACTCCGTAGTGGTGCTCCTGAGGCGCCCTGGGAACGTAGCTCTTGTCTGTGTCAGTTAGCCTCCGGTAACATTGGTTTGGTTGTGTTTTGCTTAAAGTCACAGAACCTGTCCAGGATGTCGAATGAAGCATGGCTGTGTTCACAGGTGCATGACCATCAAGCCACTCTTGAGGGAAAATTGCGTGCAGGGGACAGGGGGCCTGTCCCTTGAGTGTCCCAGCCCCGAGCTGGGGTGTGGCCTAGACCAGGCTTGCCCATCAAGGCCACGTGCTACACAGTTCAAGGGCTAGAAGAGAGCGATCTTTCACTTTCAGCTTTATGCCTTGTATGTGAAATATTTACCCATTTAACAATTGGAATCCGGAGCATTTAATTTAAATTATAGCACAGGCTCACTGTCGCAGTAGCACTGACTGCACTTCAGCTGTGCACTCGCCTGTGAGGACAGTGGCAGCTGTGTGGCACATCTTGTCCTTGCAGGGCGTGCTGTGAGGCAGCACTGACAGGCGCACATGCACACGCACGCAGTCTCCAGGTCCCCTGTCTCTGCCCGGCCATCTCGAGCTGCCTCCCCACGTACAGCAGCTTAGACACCCAGAGGGAAGGGGGGGAAGGAGCCACCATGGGCTTCGTGGTTGGCAGCGGCCCTAGCGACATCGTGGATGTGTGTCTCCTTTCTTCACCAGTCTCCTTCCCTGTGGTTAATTCCCAGTGCTTAAAACTGTGTGATGCAGTGTTTTTCTTCAGTATTACAAACCGTAAAACTGGTGCTCATGGTAAATGATTCAAACAGGTCAGAGCGTGTGGAGTAAAAAGTGAAAAGATCTCTCTGCCCCTCTGTCCCAAGTCTCATTTCCAAAGGGACTGTTTTCTGTCTGTCTTTCCAAAGCCTCCTCTTTGCATTTTACAAACATCCGTTTGATGTCCCACCCTGTTTCCATGTCATGGCATTTGCCCGTGTCACTAAACCTCACCGTGAACCCCATTCTCATCCTGGCTGCACCCTGGTTGGCCGCTCCGTCCCCCGCCGTGGGGCTTTCCCCGGGGCCCCCCGGGAGGGCAGGAAGGAGTGGGCCTCGCATCCTCACGCATCGCCATTGCCATCCCATGGGGCAGCTCTCCAGTCGAGGGCCTGGGCGGGCTGGAGCTGGCGCCTCGAGGCCCTCCCCGACACGACCCCTCGGTTCTTCCCTGCCACAGAGGACTACGGGCACTACGAAGAGCTGCCGGGGGAGCCTGGGGAGCACCTCTTCCCCGAGCACCCCCTGGAGCCCGACAGCTTCTCTGAGGGAGGGCCCCCAGGCCGGCCGAAGCCGGGCACCGGTGTCCCCGACTTCCTGCCCTCAGCCCAGAGGGCCCTGTACCTGAGGATCCAGCAGAAGCAGCAGGAGGAGGAGGAGAGAGCGAGGAGGCTGGCTGAGAGCAGCAAGCAGGACCGGGAGAATGAGGAAGGCACGTGTCCTCCCCCGGGGCCGGGGCTTTCTCTGACGGGCTCAGCCCCCTCCTGGGCCGCCATGCAGGGGAGCGGTGGGGAGCACCCAGATCGGGCTCTGCACCGGCAGGGAGCTTGTGGCCAGAGAGGACCCCTGCCTCAGGCTGTGAAGTCAGGCTGGGGCTCTGCGTGTCTTAAGAAAACTGGAAGTCGGGGCTGCCCTTCTGGGTCTTGGGGGTCAGGAGAGACCTGACCCTGTTGAAGAGGGCGGGCCGGTCCCTGGAGGAGGTGGCAGGCATTGACGTAACCAAGCTGCCGAGTGGCATGGGCTGTGTGGAGGCCTGGTGGCACCCACCAGGGTGAGGTGGGGCGGACAGATTGTGTTCACAACCCGAAGCCAGAGGCCACGGTGGCCATGACAGGAGCCCAGGAGTGAATGGGAACAGGGGATGAGGGGACAACCGCCTCTCCTGGTGGCTCTGGTTTTATCTGCTTAGGAGGTTGGACTGGGCTAGCCCCTGGTTTGTGCACCTGGCCCTGCCTCTTAGCTGGTGCTCGCCCTTCCCCGGAAGTCGGTGGCGTGTCAGGAGCCTAGGGGCGAGTGTCTGTGGGCCTGGAGCACAGCGAGAGCCCATCAGTGGCAGCTGCTCACAGGCTGCCAGGTCAGGGCCTGAGGCTGCCCTGGGGTGAGGGGGTGGTGGCAGTGCTCTAGGCTTGAAGTCAGCTCAGTCCTGCTCTGCTCCCTTCTCAGGGCACTGTTCATGCCTCTGTTTCCTCATCTGTCAGATGGGCCCGGTAATAACCCTGCCTCCAGGTGGTTGCGAGGGTTGATGAGGCAGAGCACTTTTATAACAGTACGCACACACAGGGAAGGATCGGAAGGGGAGCCTGGGAGCCAGGGACCTGCCAGGTCGGTGCTCGGCCAGCCCGAGCGCACTGGCTGTGTGCGGCAGGCTGCCCACAGGGATGGGGCACTTCTAAGAGGGGGGACAGAGGCTCCGAGTGGTGAGGCGCAGAGGAGGTGTGTGCTCTGGCGGGCTGCCGTGGGGTCCGAGGGCGCTGGTGCTGTGCTGGCCGCTCACCCCTCCCTGCTCCTCTGCTCTTTCTCAGGTGACACTGGAAACTGGTACTCAAGTGACGAGGACGAGGGTGGGAGCAGCGTCACCTCCATCCTTAAGACCCTGAGACAGCAGACGTCCAGCCGACCCCAGGCTTCCGTCGGGGAGCTGAGCAGCGGTGGGCTGGGGGATCCTCGCCTCCAGAAGGGACACCCCACGGGAGGCCGGCTGGCCGACCCCCGCCTCAGCCGGGACCCCAGGCTCACCCGCCACGCTGAGGCTTCCAGCGGTTCAGGCCCGGGAGACACAGGGCCCTCTGACCCTCGGCTGGCTCGCTCCCTGCCTGCCCCCAAGCCCGAAGGTGGCCTTCATTCCAACCCCGCAGGCCCCGGCAGCTCCAAGGGGTCCGGACCACCCCTCGCGGAAGAGGAGGAAGGGGAGCGGGCCCTGCGGGAGAAGGCCGTGAACATTCCCCTGGACCCCCTCCCAGGGCACCCGCTGCGGGACCCACGGTCGCAGCTGCAGCAGTTCAGCCACATCAAGAAGGATGTGACCCTGAGCAAGCCGAGCTTTGCCCGCACCGTGCTCTGGAACCCGGAGGACTTGATTCCCCTGCCCATCCCCAAACAGGACGTGCCCCCCGTCCCCGCGGCCCTGCAGTCCATGCCTGCGCTGGACCCCAGGCTGCATCGGGCCGCTGCTGCGGGTCCCCCCAACCCCCGTCAGCGGCCGGGCACCTCCACAGACCCTGGCTCGTCCGGCTCCACCCTGCCCGACTTTGAGCTCCTCTCTCGCATCCTCAAGACTGTCAATGCTGCAGGCCCCTCCGCCACCCCTGGCCCTAGCGATAAGCCCAGTGACCCCCGGGTGCGGAAGGCCCCCACTGACCCTCGGTTGCAGAAAACGGCAGACTCTGCTGCCTCCTCCCGTGCTGCCAAGCCCAGCTCTGCTGAAGCTCCCTCTCCAGCTGCCAGCCCCAGTGGGGAGTCCTCTCCCCCAGCCACTGCTCCCTACGACCCCCGGGTGCTGGCGGCCGGCGGGCTGGGCCAGGGCAGTGGGAGTGGGCAGAGCAGCGTGCTGAGCGGCATCAGCCTCTATGACCCCAGGACTCCCAACGCGGGTGGTAAAGCCACAGATCCCGCCACCGATGTGGGTGCCCAGCCAAAGGGACCCGAGGGCAATGGCAAGGGCTCAGCTGCCAAGGCCAAGGAGCCCCCATTTGTCCGCAAGTCTGCCCTGGAGCAGCCAGAGCCGGGGAAGTCCGGGGCAGACGGGGGCGCAGCCTCGGCCACGGACAGATACAACAGCTACAACCGGCCCCGGCCCAAGGCCTCTGCAGCCCCGGCGGCAGCCACGGGCGCCCCACCCGCGGAGGGCACCCCACCTCAGCCCGGGGTACACAACCTGCCGGTGCCCACCCTCTTTGGGACTGTGAAGCCTGCGCCGAAGGCGGGCTCTGGGAGCCCGTTCGCCGGCAACAGCCCGGCCCGCGAGGGCGAGCAGGATGCAGGGTCCCTGAAAGATGTTTTTAAAGGTTTTGACCCCACTGCCTCCCCCTTCTGCCAGTAGTGTTATGCTGGGGTCAAGTGCCCCCTGCACCCCACCTTTCCCAGGCGATATTTAAGTGCAGCAGCCAGAGTTGGGACCCTGGGGGGAGGGGTCTGGGTGTTCTTTCTTTACTTCCTTCATCTTTTTCTTTTTTTCTCTCTGTCTGATAATACTTTCTTTTTAAAACAGATAAATTGTATATAACTCCCTTCAGTTCTGGTCAGTGCTGCCGGGCCCCTGCTGGGAGCACCTACTTGTATGTGGGAAGAGTGGCGTGTCCCCAGCCGGCACTCTGGCCCGATTTTTCAGGGACTCCTTGAAAACTGGGGTTCCAGCGGGTTTTCTGGGCACAGCTTGGCCCCTCTGCCTCTGCCCCACCCCCCACCCCCCGGGATAAAGGGAACACAGCAGGTGCTGAGTAGGCCCCAAGCACTGCCCATCCGAGTTGCAGGACCCGCTGTGGGGGTGGGTGGGAGGTGAAAAAATGTCCAAGGGAAGGACAGCCCTGGGGCCGTGCTGGGGTTGCCAGAAGCGAGCCCTTCGCTGCTGCCATCTCACGTGGATTCGCACACGGTCCTTGAGCTGCCTTCCGTCCAGAGTCCGCCGTTGACCCTGACCCTGCGCCCAGGCCCTGGACAGAAGACTCCAGGATAAGAGGTGGGCCTGGAGGCGGCAGGGTGGGTGGGGGCAGCCCCTGAGCTGCACCCCAGGGGCATTCTCAGCAGCTCGCCTGTTTTCCGTCAGTATTAGCTCCTGTCCTGTCCTGTTCTGTCGCAGCCGCATCCACCTCCCCTCGGGCCAGGGGCTGTCCCAGTCCTCAGAAGCTAGAGCGCCCATTGTGCTGTTCCTGGTGCCTCTGGGGACCATTCAAGGATCCGTGGCACGGCTGCCCCCCAGGCCCCCACAGGAGCCGTAGCTGGTTCTTGGCAAAGTGTTCCTACCCCCACTGTCTCCACCCCGCCAGGCACCGTGTCTTCGGGGCCCTTGGGCTCCATGTGTTTGGCTTTTAAGCAACAGGCTCACGGGGTCCAGAGATGCCTCAGGTTGCTGGATGTGTGGGCACTTCCATGAAAAGGGCTGAGGGAAAGGCTGGAGAGTGTCCCTAGCAGGGTTGGACTGCTGGGTCCTCTTCAGGAGGGGCCAGGACCCCCTGCAGGTGGGGGTGAGGCTGGAAGCCCGCGTCCTGCTCCCCTCACCCACTTCCCCAGGGCCCCAGCTAAGGCCCAGCCCTGTCCACTGAGCTCTAGAGGAGGCCTGCCCTCTGGACGTGGCCTGGGGGGACTGGGCAAGGCCTGTGTTGCTGGGGGTCCCTCCCACCTACGTGTCAGTCCTCGCCAGCCTCTTCTGCTGGTCGCCTTGTCTGCTAGTCACCTCATCTGGCCACCTCAACCACCTTGCTTAAGGCCCCTGTCTCTTCTTTGCTGGCAGTGAGGGGGAGCCTGGTGACCCAGCCAAAGGGTTCTGTCCCTCAGCACCTTGGGGTGGGGGGTGAACGAGGCTGCTGTACCAAACCCCCCTCTCCGGAGACCAATGGTTGAGCCCGGGGCCAGAGGCAAGGGCGGGAGAGGCAGGCCCACGGGGTCAGTGCATGAGGGTTGGATTGGTGTGGTTTGTCTCTGTGTCTTTTCTGTCTCGTTTTTTTTAAACGTGAGATTTTTCTTCGGCCACCAGCGTTGGCCTCGAGCAGGGGCTGCAGCGCTCGGCGCCTGGACGATGGGTGGGAACATGCAGTGTGGCGGCGGTGGTTTTGTTCTCCGGAGAAATTTCTTTTGTAAAAGCAAATTAAATACTCTTTTTAAACGGAAACTTGTGGATGAAATAGAAGCTGGGGCCTCGTTTGATGTTCAGCCTAAGAACCTCACAGGACTATGAATTCACCCCAGGTCTTCATTTGCCATCAGGCCGAGCTTTTAAAGAAAAATTGTGATCTAACCAGGATTGTAACAAAAATGTAAATACTATTTCAGAGTTGAAAGTCGATGGTGCAAATATGTATATAACGTACTGTATTTTTACAATGACGTCGCATGCCTCCACTCCACCCTTTCGTACTCCGTCTCCGTCTTCCAGAAGCGCCGCCCGCCCTGTCTCCTGTGCTCTCTTAACCCAATAATTGTATTACTGCCATTAAAGGGTGCAGTTATTTTAAAGAGCCTGTGGTTCTGGTGTCTCTCCGGCTCCAGTCACCTGTGCCCCAGAACGGACCGGAAGGGTAGGAGACGGCCTCATGTGGCCAGCCCCAAGGCGACGTCCATCCCCAGCGGCCTCACCGCACACTGCCCAAGCTCGGCACGGGGCCAGTCTCCACAGAGAGACAGCGGTGGCCCACATGGCAAGGCCTGCCTGCGCACCGGCCCCAGGGCCACTGGGGTGGGAGGAACTGGAGCCCTTGCTGCGGCACACTGAGTGTTCGTGTCCCCGCAAAGTCCATGTGTGGCCCTGGCCATGCGGCTTGGTTGGCTGGACCGTCATCCCGATACACCGAGGTTGTGGGTGTGGTCCCCAGTCAGGGTGCATACAAGAATCGACCAGTGAATTTATAAAAAAGTAGAATAGATACTTCCCTCTCTCAAAAGCTGTTTAAAATTTTAAAAGGTACATAATGCTGAAACCCATCCCCTGGTGAGATGGTGTCAGGAGGTGGTCAGTCAGGAGAACAGAGCCCCCAGGATGGAATCAGTGTCCTCACAAGGGAGACCCCCACAGAGCTGCCCTGATCATGTTTTTGGCCCGACCGCCTGGCGAGGGTGCAGCTAGGATACGGCCGGCTGTGACCCCGGTAAGCAGCACTCACCGGGCTGAGCCCGCTGGCACCTTGGTCTTGGACTCCCAGCCTTCAGAGCTGTGGCGCTGTGTGATAGGGGACACCCCCCACACATTAGCCAGGCATCTTACCTGAGGAAGCCACGCTCTGCCAGGGTATGACAGGGAGCAGCACCGAGTCTCATGGAGTCGTGTCTCCATGGGACTGGCTTCGGCCTCTGTGTTTCAGTGGGTTCATTTTCCATGGCTGCTGTATACACTTCCCAAACTCAGGGGTTTAAAATCACAAATTTGTTGCTGTTCTAGAGGTCACAAGTGTGACATGGGTCTCCCCCCGCCAAAATCCAACTGGCCAGGGCCGCTCTCCTCTCTGAAGGAACAGGGATTGTTTTCCTGCCTTTTCCAGCTTCTAGAGGCCGCCCTCGTGGGCCAGCAGCCCCCTCCACGTCACAGCCAGCTGCACTGCGTGGCTCTGGCCCTTGTTGCGTGGGCACACCTCCGGCCACAGCTGGGAAAGGGTCTCTGCTCCTAAAGGCCCACGCCATTAGATTGGGCGATCCGGGATAATCTCCTGTTTCAAGATCCTTAATCACACTGAGTTTCTGGGCCTATGGGAGGCAGCCGATCAATCTTCCTCCCCCTCCTCCCTTCCTCGCTCTAAAAATCAATGAAAGCGTATCCTTAGGTGAGGATAAAAACAAGAAAGGAATGAAGTACTGATCCACATGCTGCAAGATAACCCTTGAAAACATTATGCCAAGTGAGAAAAACACGAAGGTCACACACTTTATGAGTCCGTTTCCTTATGATACGTCCAGAATCAGCACATTCACAGAGACAGAGAGTAAATTAGTGGTTGCAGGGGCCCCGGGGCGGGGGGCCGGAGCGGGCATGGGAGCAACTGCTAACAGGATGTTAGCGATAGTGAAAGGCTCCACAGGTAGAGCTTGGCGATGGTTGCCCAGCCCTGTGAAGACACTGACAACCCCTGGACCGCCTGCATTAAAGGGTTGGATCTCATGGAGTTTGAAATTAGAACTAAAAAATCAACAGCATTCTTCTGTGATCAACCAGGACAATTACAGGAAATCAGAGAATCTTCCTCAAAGTGATAAATGTTTTAAGGAATCTAGGAATCAACCTCATGAAAAAAGCAGAACTTACAGAGATGCCAAAGACAACACATTCAGACTGAGATGAGAAACGTGACTGAAAAAGACCACGGCGGCAGGGAGAAGCCTCCTTTTCAGAGATCTGCCAGCATCTCAAAATCAAACCGAAGGCACTGCTTTTCACCCTGGCCAGGTGGCTCAGTTGGTTGGAGCATCGTCCCATAAACCAAAAGTTTGTGGGTTCAATTCCCAATCAGACACACCCTTGGCTACAGATTGGATCCCCAGTCGGGGTGCATATGGGAGGCAACCAATCAGTGTTTCTCTCTGTGTGTCTCAGGCCTGCAAACCAAAGGGTCACCAGTTCGATTCCCAGTCAGGGCACATGCCTGGGTTGTGGGCCAGGTGCCTGGTGGAGGGCACATGAGAGGCAACCACACACTGATGTTTCTCTCCCTCCCTCCCTTCCCTGCTCTCTAAAAATAAATAAAATCTAAAAAGTAAAATCAATACAAACATATCCTCAGGCGAGGATTTTTTTTTTTAAGTGTTGTTTTTCTCTGGTAAGAGGGGTTTGCAGACAGTGCAAATTGGATAGATATGGGGAAGTAAGTAACTGACCAGTGTGGGTCACAGGAAGTGCCTGTCTCGGAGAAACTGACAAGGAGACATGTTTCAGTTCAGTGCTGGTTCTCAGCTGGGGTGAGCTGCACAGCCCGGCTCTGCTGAGGCGAGGGGCCCCACGGAGGGTGAGGCATGAGTGGCAGTGAGTACCTGTCCAGGGAAAATGTTAGACTTCCGCTGAAGGAATTACAGGACAGCCCGGATAGGCGCCTGACCTGTGGGTGACACCAGGTGACACTGTCCTTTCCCTCACACTCTAAACTGTCCTGCTACAAAAGCTAGTATCCCTTTGGTCCGCTGTCATGTCCAGTTTTGGGAACCATTCTTGACATCTGGTAAGCTTTTTTAAAAAAAATGTATTGATTTTTGGAAGAGAAAGAAACACGATTTGTTGTTCCACTTACTGATGCACCCATTGGCTGATTCTTATATGTGCCCTGACTGGAGACCGAACCCATATCCTTGGCATATCGGGAAAATACTCTGACCAACTGAGCTACCTGGTCAGGGCCTGGTGAGTTCTTGATAAAAATGCATTCTTAAAAAAAAATTAAATTGAGATATAGTTGACCTATAGAACACTGTATGAGTTCAGGTGGTACAGTGTGACGATTTGATCCATGTTGCTATATCTGATTACAGTTATGCATTGCTGCATAATTACCACCGTGGCTTTAGTGTCACGTAATTACCGTTCCTTGTGGCAAGTAAAAACTCGTTCATTGGAAGAGAAAACCAACGCCCAGTCAGACGCTGATGGCGCTGGTTGGTGTGGGGCTGGAGCGTTAGTGTTTTGTCAAAGCTCCCGAGGATTCATAGCAGAACCTGATCCAGTCAGCTCTGTCTCTTTAAGGAGGATTTGTTTTCTAATGCCCTGGCCCTTCCTGGCATTCCCCTCCCCACTGCACCCCTGCCCCCGCCTCCCCTCACCATTTCACCAGCCAAGAATGTGAACAATGTGCCTCAAATATTTTCAGTTCCCCCTTAAGCCCATTTAATGCTTAACGTTTGTTGCCAGCAGGCAGGCTCTCTATCCCAGCCCATTTGGACTCCCTCCCCAAATGTAACCCCTACCTTAGCTCTCAAACCTATTGCCCTCTTCATAAAATGTAAGCTCTTTTCTGCAGGAGGTGAAAGGGCAGAGGTCAAGGGGCCTGGGCCAATAGGATGGAGAGCTATGGAAGGGTTTAGAGAGAGACAGACTACATACTCATTTAAAACACCCTGTGGCCCTCACTGCTGTGGCTTAGAGTGTGGAGCATTGTCCTGGTTCGATTCCCAGTCAGGGCACATGGCTGGGTTGTGGGCCTGTGCCCCGGTTGGGGGTGTGCAACAGGCAACCAATCGATGTTTCTCTCCCTCTCTTCCGCCCTCCCTCCCTTTCCCTTTCTCTCTCTAAAAATGAGTACATAAAATCTTTTAAAAAATAATAAAATACAAAGCCTTCACCTCTGCCCACAAGACCTCAAGAACTCCCTGCCTGCATCCCCTCCGGGACTTCCACTTCTTCCCACTCTCCCCATCGCTCGCCCTGCTGCACCCACACCAGCCACTCCTCCACATTCACGCACACTCCAGCCTCAGGGCCTTTGCACTCGCTGTCCTCTCTGCTTGGAGCAGCCCACCTCCTCCTCATCGCTGCTCGGCTGACTTCTTGTCACGGGGCACGTCCCCAGAACCTAGTGCCTTAAAACCATAAACCGGTATGGGTATTATCACCTCACCTCTGCGGGTTAGGAATCCCGAGGGAGCGGCTCAGCTGAGGGCTTCCGCTCTGCGTCTCATGAGGTTTGGGCCAGGGCAGCAGTCACCCAGAGACCCACAGGGGCAGGGGGGGTCCCCACTCTGTCACTTCCACAGCGTTGTGTTGGTCCCAGAGACCAGCCCTGACTGGGCGTGGGAGGAGGCCCCACCAGTCTCGGGGACAGTGGTGGAGGCTGGTGGCCTCACCTTCTCACTCTCTACCTCGTCACCTTCATCCATTTTCTTTATGGATTTTACACTCGACGGGTTTTTACATTAATTATTCTTCGGTCCCTCTTCCCTGATCGTGTCACGTCCATAGGCTGGGACACATCCTTGTTTGTGCGTGATTTGTTTTGTTCACTGGGACGTCCCCAGTGTCTCCAACAGACCTCGGTACCTCGCAGATACTCTGTAAGTGGTTCCTGTGTTAGTACCCAGAGAACCCGCGCCAAGGGGGTCTGGGGGCCAATGAATGCGTTGGCCAGTCTCAGTTGTGCAGGTGAAAGTTTTCAAGGGTTTGGGCTGGGAACGGAGAGAAAGAGATAGCTACTGATGGGGTCGCCTGTCCCTTTTGTTTTTATTTTTTAAAAAGATTTTATTTAGCCCATTTTTCGGACTGTAAGACGCATTTTTATCTTAAAAAAAAAAAAAGCAAGCAAACCCTGGTTGACGTGGCTCAGTGGATTGAGCGCTGGCCTGCGAACCATAGGGTCGCCAGTTTGATTCCCAGTCAGGACACATGCCTGGGTTGTAGGCCAGGTCCCCAGTGAGGGTGTGTGAGTGGCAACCACACATTGACATTTCTCTCCCATTTCCCCTCTCTTCCCTTCTGTCTAAAAATAAATGAATCTATTAAAAAAAAGACGCACTTGCCCTGGCTGGCGTAGCTCAGTGGATTGAGCGTG